CTACTGACGACTGACTACTGACTACTGACTGACTACTACAACTACGACTCCAATTCTACGATGCAGAAGAAGAATGATCACTCGTACTAGCAGTAGTAGTAGGTAGGCCACACGAGCCCCACACGCAGAAAACAACACCTTTTGCTTTCTGCCCTTTGGGTCACTCTGGAAGACTAAGCCACTACTCGTCCCAGATGCCTCTGCAATCATGCTTCAGCAACACGCCCAAGCTACCCTGCAGAGGGCTGCACATCAGCTGATTTTCAGCCCTCGCCGTCGCCCTCCAAATTGGCTTCGGCTTCCCGATTCTCAGCCTGTTCCTTCAAGGGACAGATACGGCTGTACGGGTTGAACCCGATCGCCCTGATGAACGCTATGTAATGGCTCACTTTGCCTGGCTCTGGGGCTTCGCGCCCATATCTGGATGAGCATTTAATGACATAGTACAACACGTCCAAGTTGTCGTGCGCCAGCTGTGTGAACTGCAAGTAGGTGAGCCGTTCCCTTCTATATTTCGGGGCCATGAAGATGCAAGTTGACCATTCCTGCAAGCTTTCCACATCCGGTGGCAGTGGCTGGCCGTTAGCAGGCTCTGTGGGGATTGCCACCGCATCATTGATAGGAGCCGGAGCTGGGGGCCGATTGACAGGATTCGGAGGCGGAGGGCCACGACGAGGCCCGTCTACAGGAATGGACTCTGTAGAGCTCGAGGACTCGACCTCCATATCGGTGCCGGAACCCTCAGAGCTGTGCCATCCTGCGTGGCCACGACCCTCCATCCATTCAATCACGGGTAATCTAGGCCAGCTAGCTTGTCTCGCTCGGTCTTTGAACCCACGAGCGATGAGTGCATATAATCATCCCGAACGCCAAGACCCGACCAAACTTGAACAAACCCAAGCTGCTCAGGTTGCAATCGTGCAGAACACTGTGCAATGCAACAACTTTACAAAAAGTGCAACGATGCGGCACCGCCCTGCCTGACCGAAAAGGAGAGACCACGCTTGCGGAAGCAGTTGATGAAATCCAGCAGCGAGCCTCAATTTGATAAGCGTTTGTCTATCTGATAGATCTTATCGTCTGCCTATCTTTGCTGCATGCACTCTGCACGCTTCCCTTCCTCAACCGATTCATTTGAGAGCCCGGCATTACGAAACGGGCCGTGCTCCCGCAGGATAACCAGCGCGAAAGCACTGGTACCGGGGGCCTCTTTGAAAGGATGACGTCCACAATCGCGAACCACAGCTTGGCACCTCAATCAACAAACCCGAGCAAGGCTAAAGGGCGCGGCGGGGAGGTATGATGTTGCAATCCTACCAGGTATAAGTTGCCCACAGCTCTCCGCCTTGCTGGAGCAGCATCCAAGCTTGCAGTGATGGACGATCTCCGGTTTCGTCCAGTCCTGAAGCTGCGAAAGATCTACTTGAAATGGCTTTAACATTTCTAGACTTCCTGACTAATCATACATCACACTCGTCACTCTTCTAAGGTATGCGCTCCGTTTGCCATTGACAGCAAAACCTCAGCATTGTGTCGGCGTCGTCGATGATCGTCTTCTGCACCTTCTGCATCTGCTTGGGGACCTGCCCGGACAGAACCGATTAACGAGTCAGTCGCAGCCAGATTTTCTGCCAGCGGTGCCAACGTCTCAGGACCGAGCTTGGTCTGATGGCCTCCTCCAGAAACTGTCTCGCATACTGTTGATGCTGTGGCGACGGCCTCAGAAACAGTGAACATGAGTGGGTCGAAGGCAGTGGCAGCGAGACTGTCTGGGATCGCAGCGGGTCGTACCGGACGATCAGCTTTGCTTCGATAATGCGCTTGCACTGACAGATCAACTCGTAAAACAAGCTGCCCTGCGTCAGTATCGACGAGAAGCAGAACCTGGACCACATGCGGCTTACAGCACAACTCAGCTCTCCTGCTAGTTTGTACCTAGCCTACAGCTAACATGCTTCCTGCTTTCCATGAAACAACCCTGGCAGCACGCCCAGCGTCTTCCACATCTGCTCGGTCGTCAAATTTGCCTGATGCCTGGAATTTGTTAAAACTAATGAAATATGCCGCGATATATGACGGAACCAAATCAGAACAACAGCAAGACTGCCGGGTCACATCATGCATCGTTGCTTCATCACCTGGTCACGATCACCCTACCATATGACCCGACGTGCTTAATGACAATGGTTCATATTGATGCGACGGAGCTACCAGCACATTCGGATCGGCCATATCTGCAATCTGGCGAACCATAGCCAGATTCGAAGCTGCACTGTCACAAACGAAGCACAGGATCAGGAGACGGCATCTGTTTGCCAATTCTTAGATCTGCACTTTGCAAGCAATGCAACACTGCAACTTGCGACATGACATGATGATTCGTGATGCTGTTACTAAATCTGAGCGAAGTTGCTGAGAGGCGGCACAGGTTGAGTGCTGTCGATGGCCTTCCACAGAGACCTTGATGTCTTCCTCCGAAGAACAGCCGGTGCATTAATGACCTCAGCGCGGGCGACTTGCAACAAGCGAGCCGCAACCAATTTGCAAAGCCGAGCAGCGAATTTGCAGTTCACCCCGTCACACTCGGGGCTCGCGATCAAGACCGTTGATCTGGAGACCTCGTGGATTTATGTCAACCAGTACTAGTACTGGTATTTTAGTAGTACTGACACTAGCTGACCAACTGAAAATGAAAAGCAAGCGGCAAGAACTGACATTGTTGTGGTTGTCTCGCAGGCTGTGTTTTTCAGTCGAAGGATCTGCCCAGTCTCGTCGAACTCGATGTGGAGGGCAACAACGGATTTCCGGTCCTACTGCTGACGGAAAGTTTACGTATCTATTCAAATCTGTCCAACCGTCCAACCTATTACTAGCCTTCTAATCTGCGTCTTTTTTCTTTCTCTCTCTCTCTCTCTCTCTCTCTCTCTCGCTCTCGCTCCCCCTCCCATATTTCTCTCTCGTTGAAATTCTGTATCAACCAAGTTCCTGAAGCAAATTCCCGAAGCCATTGCGCTGCTCGCGGAGGTAGAAATCGCAAATCGCATGACGTGCTTTCGTTATGGAATCAGTACTTGTACCCATCCACCACGCCAAGGAGTTCAAGCTGAACCTCAAATTCCGTCCCCAGATAAAGCCGCACATGCACAATTATCTGATATGAATGAATGAATGGTTGATTTGATTCATGTATATCTAACCTAACACTGACCGGACCTCTACTAAATTCCATTCATTGGCGGCCCTGACCACTTGGTGCAGTATGAGCTGCATGGTAGGCGACTTGCTCAAGAGTTTGGGCAATTTAGGCCCCTTGCGCCCACTCGTCATGATGTTGGCCGTAGATCGCCCCAACCTTCAAACGCGGCCCATTGCAAGCCGATCACTGTATGAATGCTGAATGCCTGATTCTAGCTGATTCAATCTGCCATATTTTGTGATAAGGCCCCCACGAAACACGAAGCAATGCGGCAGTTGTCCAAGTCTTGTACTGGCCTGTCGAAAGGAAGAGTTTTATATTTATTGGCCTCGAAGTGCCTCAAGACTCAAGAGTATCAAATCAGCCCGCCTTTGCCCTTGACCTTTCCATCATGATGTCGTTTGCGAGGCCCCTGCCCTTGTCCATCGATGTGTATGACATCAAATTTCCGGACTGCATATTCTTGATTGTACTTGGTGACCTTCGTCCTGACAACATTCCGAAGTTCACTAGATATGATCAGACCAATCAGACCCCCGTCCTGAATCTCTGCAAGAAAGCATTGGACCGTTGGGCCAATAGGCGATGCTTCCGACCTATCATCGCAGGAATCATATCACTACCTCGACTCGACCTAGCAACGTCTAACGACAAGATCACCAGGCCTGCTCGAGCAAGAGCACATACACTGTGGCGTGTATGACGCTGTTCTCGTTCTCGCCGCACAGACGCTGCAGCTTGCCGAGAGAGCAGCTGCGTATTTCTCAAGATTCTATCTGCAATGGCACTGGCAGCCGCCATGATGCCAGTGACGTCGTTAGAATCAAAACGCTATGCCGTTAGCGAAGCCTTCTTGTATAGGGTTTCTCCGATCTCCCTATGTTGCTCTCGTAGCTGCTTATCATGCCACTCTTGTTCTATTTTTTATTTATATGTCAGATAAGAGAAAGAGTCTTCAAAGATGAACATGGTCTCTCCAGCTTGTGCCAGAAGTAGCGGACCTGTCTTATGTACCTTCGGAATCGTTCCCTATGTACCCTCGAAGCTTTCCCTACGTACCCTCGAAGCGTTCCCTACGTACCATCGAAGCGTTCCCTATGTACCGTCGAACCGTTCCCTATGTACCGCCGAACCGTTCCCTATGTACCGCCGAACCGTTCCCTATGTACCGTCGAACCGTT